AGGGAGGACGACGACGGCGACAACGACGACAACGACGATGGATGAGGGAAAACGGCGACGACGCGAACGACGAAGAAGGAGGAAGGACGGCGACGCCGACGACGACAACGACGAGAGAGGAGGGACAACGACGACGACAACGACGACGAAGACGACGACGACGGCGACGAAATAGGAGGGACGACGACGAGACGCCGACGACGGACGACGACGACGACGACGACGAGGGAGGAGGATAATGACGAGGGGGGGGTGACGACGACGACGACGACGACGACGGCGACGAAATAGGAGGGACAACGACGAAACGCCGACGAGGCCGACGAGGGAGGAAAGACGACCACGGCGACAACGACGACGGAAGCGACGACGACGCCAAGACGACGACGACGACGACGACGAGGAAAGACAGAAGACGACGACGGCGACGACGACGACGACGAGGGAAGAGGGAGGACGACGACGACGACGACGCAAGAGCTCGCGCGGACGCTTTTGTTTAAAATCCGTGTTGCGAAAACTTGCGTTTTTGTATGTTTTTGGGACACGATTTTGAAATCCTTCCGAAACCGATGGGTTTTGAAGGTTTTCGGCGTACGCGCGCGACGACGCGCGCTTCTGCTGTTCGTTTCGTCTTTTGCAGAGGATTCTCGCGACGGCACACGCGCAAGGGCGTTCGAAAGAGTTCGACATGCGCGCGCGACGCCCGTTTGGTAGCATTTTGTGAAAATCTTTAAAACTCATGGTTTTCTTAAGATTTCGCACGAGCTCGCGCGGAAGCTTTTTTCGCAAATCAGTGTTGCGAGACTTTGTGTTTTTGAGCGTTTTTTGGAAGCTCGATTGCGAAATCTCTCCGGCACCGAAGGTTTTTGAAGGATTTCGGCATGCGCGCGCGACGACGCGCGCGTGTGCACTTCGTCACAGGTTTGCAAGGGATTCGTGAAACAGTGTTAGGCTAGAACAAAAAATGTCACCGCAAAATGTTTTTTTTTTCACAAGGGAACCTCAGGGGGGGGATACCGGCCCCCCGGGGATAGTGTAAATTCATATGTAGGATGGACATGTGGTCAGAATCGTATATGATATACATACCCGAAAGGGGGACCGATAACTCCAGGGGGGTAGATCCTATTCTGTTTTTAGAAAGGAGAACATATGTGGCGCAATCTGGGTGGTGCAATCTATGCGGCGCCATCTATGCGATGCACTCTATGTGCTGCAAACTATAGTATGCAATCTAGGCGGCGACGGGGCGGCGACGGCGAGCACGGAACCGCCAGTCCGACAACCAGGCCCAGACGACGGGCGGCGATGAGGCGGCGACGGGGCGGCGACGGCGGCAACATAGCCGCCAGACTGGCCATCAGGCCCAGACGACGGGCGGCGACGGGGCGGCGACGGCGAGCACGGAGCTGCCAGACGGACAATCCGGCCCAGACGACGGGCGGCGACGAGGCGGCGACGGGGCGGCGACGGCGAGCACGGAGCAGCCAAAACGACACCCGAGGCCAGTGACGTAGAAGGGAAGCAAGCACGCCCCAAGAGCAAGCACGGGTTGGAGAAGAGTGCGTCGGGCATACGGTAGGCTTGCGTCGTGTCGACCAGCGGCGACCCCAGCGCGGGCGTTCAAGGCTGAACGCCGCCGGCGACCCAGAATCGATCGATGTTGAACGATCGGACGTTGCGGCAGCGGCCGATCGTTCAAGGTTGAACGATCCCTGCGGTGTCAAAAACCAGCGCTGGGGTCGGCACGTCACGAAACGAACCTGCCGTAGCGTCATCAGTGCCGCGATCCCCTTCGTCTTCGCATCGCCTCTTCGCATCAAAAACCAACGCTGGGGTCGGCACGACACGAACCTGCCGTAACCTCCTCGTCGCTTTGCTCTGCGTCCGGGGTCCTGCCCCTCGTGCGCAGGCCAGGTGACGGCCCGTCCCCTCGGGGGGGGGCGGCCTCCGCGCTCCGCCTCCTCCCTCCGCCTTCCGTGGGCGTGTCTTCGCGCTCGCGGCCGCGGCCGCGGCGCGGCGAGGCGTGGGTCGCCCCCGCCCCGCCACGCTCGCCGGCTTGGCCTGAAGTCGGTCGCGTCCCTCTACATCTGGACGCCCGACATGGGTACCGAAAGAATGGGTACTATGCCCAACAGCGGATCTTCTTCATTTTGAACAAGATCCGCTGTCCACGCCGCCGCGGCCTGTGTCCATTCGAGTCAGAAGGCCGCCTGCCCAACAGCGGCCGCTGTTGGCTTGGGACAACATTTGTTGTTGGGCATAGTGCCCATTCTTTCCGTACCCATTTCGGGTGTCCAAACTACAGGAGGAATATTCGGGAGCCTCGAGACGGGGGTCAATGCAAACGGGGGTCAGCCAGGGCGCCGGATCCTGCGGGATCCTGCGAAGACCCCCTCTGGCTGACCCGGGTCAGCGAGCCGCTCGTGGCCGCGAGGCGGCCGCGCCTATTGGCTGACCCGGGTTTGCGAAGACAAGCGTTGCAGTTTGTTTTTCCTGCATTGCAGTTTTTGGTTTTCTGCTGACCCGGGTCTGGATTGACCCGGGTCAGAAGATCCCCGAAATATGCAACATTGGTGAAAATTAACCCGATGAAGGCCCCGACCATTTGCAGCTGCGAGTGCCGCGAGAGAGAGAGAAAAGACGGAGGAGGGGAGCCCGCGGTGTCCAAAGCCCCGTGTCCTGCGCCGTGGAGACTTCCAGGGGCCTCGCGCAAGCGTCTCTTCCTCGAAATGAGTCGCCTGTAAACCCTGCCACTGAGGCCTCGGGTGGAGCTCCCTATGGGGCCACGAACCGTGTGAGGGGTGTGCCGACATGAGTCGCTGGGATGCATGTAAACCCTGTCGCTGGGGCCTTCGGTGGAGCCCCCTGTGGGGCCACGGACCGTGTGAGGGGTCTGCCAAAATACTGGACATGCGGAGCAGAGGCAGGGATGGGAGGAGGGAGGGGGCAGCGAGAGTGAGTGAGGTGACGCGGGGCGCTGTCTTTTCAAAACGAGGACCCAACACCACAGGATGGTTGGGAGTTTTGTCCGGGGTTTTGTCCTAATGTTTTTGGCTATCATGGGGCACTGTGTTGACTATTTGTTGCTGCTCCTCCAAGATCCGCCTGTCGGAGGACATGACCGACCTCAGTTTGGCCCGCTTCGGCCCTTTGGGTTGTTTTTTTTTTTCTGAGGAGCGTCCGGCAGCGCCTTCTCCTGGACACTTCCGCCTGCCCACTCTCAGAGCGTGAATTACCTACCCCGCTTTCGCTTCCAGGCAAAACCAAGCCATACCACGCGCCTCCTTGTCAAGCGGCCTGACCAGTACAGGCCGTAGTTTGGCCTCGTTTGGTATCTCTTGGAAGCGAGGGTGGTCAAAAGCGAGGTAGGTTTGCTTTCCCCCTACACTCGATCTCTTAGCGGCTCCCAGCCCGTGGAGCCGAGCCCTCCCGGCCGGTGGCGCAGGCTGCCCGCTCGATTCGCGCTTCGCGGTTCGGCTCCGGTTCCTCCCCGTCCTCGTCCTCCTCCTCCTCCTCCTCCTCCTCCTCCTTCTCCCCCCTCCTTCCTCCTCGTCGTCCTCGCCTCTCCTCCTTGGGGCCCCCCCAAACGGTGTGGTGAGCACACCGTGCGGTGAGTCGGTGGGGATGCCGGGGCACCGCACGGTTTTGGGGCTCTCGAGTCCCTCTCCGAGGACGTCTCGTCAGAGCCCCGAATCATCAGGGGTAACTCGGGTCAGGGCTAACTCGGGTTCGTTTTCCGGGAGTCCGAACCCGAGTTACCCCGGACCCGAGTTACCCCGGATATTTCGGGCGTCCAGAGCCCCGAATCATCAGGGGTAACTCGGGTCAGGGCTAACTCGGGTTGGTTTTTTCGGGAACCCAAACCCGAGTTACCCCGGACCCGAGTTACCCCGGATAACTCGGGCGTCCAATCTATGGCGCGACCAGGGGCCTCCGGGGCCCCAAGGCCGTGCGGCAATCGGGCCGTGCGGTGAGGTTTTACGGGGGGGGACTTCGAGGTCACCGCGCGGTCTGTCACCGCACCGCCTCGGGACTCCAGCGTCTCCCTGGCGGGGGGGAGGCGGGGGGGCAGCGCAATGAGCTCGGAGCCCTCCGCGCCCCCGCGCCCCGCGCAGGGCGCGCGAGGCCGCGACGCCCGGCGCCCTGGGTCGACGGGAGTGCGCCGCCGCCGAGCGCCGTGCCTGGCCCGCAGGGCGCGCGCTGCCCTGCGGCCTCTGGGCCGGTCGGCGCCCGCCCTCGGCCTCGCCTCCTCCTCCTCCTCCTCCTCCTCCTCCTCCTCCTCCTCCTCCTCCTCCTCCTCCTCCTCCTCCTCCTCTCTCCTCTCCGCGGCTTCGGCGGCGAGCGAGGGGGGGAAGCAGGCAGGAGGAGGCCTTCCCAGGCAGGACGGCCGCGACTGGGGGAGCTGTGGTCCTTGCCCCCCCTGGGGGACCCACCGATTTCGACACCCCTCTGGAGAGGTCGTCGATGCCATGGGTTCCCCCAGGGGGGTAAGGACCACAGCTCCCCCAGTTGTGGCTGGTCGGCCAGAGGGCGGTGGGACTTCGCAGCAGCGCTCCGGGCTTCCGAGAGAGGCGTGCTGCGTCTGTCCAGGGGAGGGCCGAGGAAGCTTCGCAGAAGGCCGCAGGGCTCCCGAGCCTTCTAGGCGGGCCCGTCCCCTCTCGCTGCTCCCCTGGGCGTGCCGCCGATGGTTGCGAGGCGGTCCCGTGACTCGGCCCCACTCTCCACTCCTGCGCCCCTCCCCTCGGGCATGTCCTCCTACAGGCTGTTTTTGTACGAAAAACTTAAAAGCAGATCAGACAAGATCCCCAAATAGCCAGAAAGAGTAGAAACATCGTCCACAGAGTATGTGTTACTGCTTTGAGTATTCCTCCTGTACAGGGACACGCCCAACTTAACCCTCCCCTCCGCTTCACCCCTCCACGCCGAAGCTTGCCAGCCCGCTTCAATGCTGCTGGTCCTCGGGCCAGCCGCTGCGCCGCCCCCCGCCCGGAGAGGTGATGGCCGGCTCGTTCCCCGAGCTCTGGGGCGGCAGCGGTAGCCTGGGTTCCCAACCTCGCTTCTTTAAGCAGTGGCGAAGCGTCCTGGCTCGCCTATGGGCCCACCAAAGAATGCTCTGGGAACCTTGTGTGGTCTGCACGAAATGTTCTTAGAACATTTCTGGTTGAGTCTGTTTTGTTTTAACACATCGGGTTTATGTTCTAAGAACGGTGTTTTTGTTCTTAGAACACTTTTGGGTTCTAAGAGCATGTCGTGGTAGGCCTACAGGAGCGCTGGGACGGTCGGTCCCTGCTCAACTCCTCGCGTCGGGGGAGAACAAAGCGACGTGATGCTTGTGGGCAGTTTTCGGCCCCTGGGGTGAGATCGGGCATTATTCTCCTGCAGGCGGATTTTGAAAGAAAAGTTTAAATTCGCCTGGCGAAGGACCCAACCAAATGCAGTTGTGAATATCGTCGTTGTTGGTAGTATCGCCTTCGGTGGATCTCCTTCTGGGGACGCGAAGCGCGTGAAGAGTGCGCCGAAATGGGGCGGGGCCGCCACGCGGGCGCTGCTACTGGGGCCTGTTAGAGGCGCCGCCATGCGGACTGCGCCACTGGGACCTTAGATGGAGCTCCCTGTGGGGCCACGAAACGTTTGAGGTGTGTGCCGAAGCTGATGGCGATGATGGTGGAGATGCTGAGGACGATGATGACGGTGATGAGGATACTGATAATGACGATGACTATGACGATGTTGCTGCTGCTGTTGATGATGCTGATGCTGATGCTGATGCTGATGCTGATGCTGATGCTGATGCTAATCATGATGCTGATGGTGCTAATGATGATGGTGGTGATGCTGATGCTGCTTCTGCTTCTGCTGCTGCTGCTGCTGATGACGATGTTGCTGCTGCTGCTGCTGCTGCTGCTGATGAGGATGATGATGATGATGCTGATGATGATGCTGATGCTGATGATGATGATGATGATGATGATGATGATGATGATGATGATGATGATGATGATGATGATGATGATGATGATGATGATGGGAGGAGAGAGGAGGATGAGGAGGAGGGGGAGGTTGAGGAGGAGGAGGAGGAGGAGGAGGAGGAGGAGGAGGGGGAGGAGGGGGAGGAGAAGGAGAAGAGGAGAGGAGAGGAGCGCGGGGACCGTCTCTTCAGAACGAGGACCCAGCACCACGGGATGGTTGGGAAATAATAAGGAAACATGCTCCACAATAGTCAAGACTCTTCGAAGCATCGTTCCAGGACTTGTTTTCCGACTACAGTCGGGGCCCTGAAGAAGGAACCCTTTTCGTTGGGGAGGGGCTCCGTGTTCCTCGATGGTTCTACTGTTTGCCTTGGGTTTTCCTGTGGTCTTCGATGGGAAATCGGAGCTTAACTTGTGGGAAAAAGGGGCCCCCGTTCCTTCTTTCTCGTTCCTTAGGTCAACGCCCCGACTGTACACCTTAGGCGATGCTTAAGAAAACCTAAGTTTTCGTCCAGAGTCTCGATTATTCTTAACTTTCCAATGTAAATCCCAAGATGTTGATAGAAGTTCTGGGTTTTATTCAATTTCTGAGACTGTGAATTTCTTAACCCATGATTTCTTAAGCATTTCGCAGACTGTCTCCTCGGACGTTCCCCCTGTAGAGGGACGTGGCCGACCTGGCCCCCGGGGTGCCCCGCCCGGCCCCGCGGGAGCGTCGAGCGCCGACTCTCGGGATGGGCTGCCGGCCCGGGGGAGAGGGTCGGGACCAGTTCTGGGCCTCCTACGGTAGGTTCGCGTCGTGTCGACCCTCGTCGACCCCGCCGCGGGAATTCAAGGTTGAACGCCGCTAGTGGCCCAGACTCGACCAACATGAAACGATTGGGCGATCGAAGAGCCGCTGATCGTTCAAGGTTGAACGATCTACGCAGTGTCAGAAACCACCGCCAGGGTCGTCACGACACGAACCTGCCGTAGACGGGGTCGGAGAAGATTGCGGGAAAGATCTGTATCCATATCCAGTGCGTCTTGCACTTTCTTGGAAGGGGCGCCACAAGGCCGAGGCGCACTGGATATTCATAAAGATCGAGCCTCGGGGGGCAGATTTATCCATATCCAGTGCGCCTCGGGTTTCTGTGGAAGAGAGCCCGGAACTCCATACTGCAGTGGATATGGACAGAAGTATTGCTCGCACAGATGTCTGGCCTCCTACAGTCGGGGCGCTGAAGAAGGAACCCTTCTCGTTGGGGAGGGGCTCCGTGTTCCTGCACTGTGTCACAGTTTGCCCCAGGTTTTCTTTGCATTCTCGATGGGGAATCAAAGTTTGACTTATGGAAAAAAGGGGCCTCGTTCCTTATTTAGGGTTCCTTAGGTCAACGCCCCGATTGTAGACGGGGTCGGAGCAGATGTCTGGACGCTCGAAATGGGTAGAGAAAGGATGGGTACAATGCCCAACAGCAGTTCCTGTTCATTCTGAACAGGGCTCGCTGTCGGTGTCGCCGCGGCCTGTGTCCATTCGAGACAGAAGGCCGCCTGCCCAACAGCGGCCGCTGTTGGTTTGGGACAACATTTGCTGTTGGGCATTGTGCCCATTGTTTCCGTGCCTATTTCGGGCGTCCAACGTTCTAGGCCTCCTAGACGGGGTCGGAGCAGATGGGGCTGGAGGATCGCGCCGCATCGCCGCTGCATATGCGATGCATCGGCGGTGCGGCTCGATGTGTAGCCCGACTTGCTTCACGTCGACGTCGCCGATGTATCGCCCACGTCGACGATGCATCGCCGGCGCATCGCCGATGCATCGCTGATGCGTCTCCGATGCATCGCCGACGCATCGCCGCTGTATCGGCGGTGCGGCGCGATCCTCCGGCCGCATCGACTCCGACCCCACCCGGGAGGCCTCTGCCAGCGGGGACCCCCCGCAGCGACGGAGTCGGGCGACTTTGGGAGGGAGGCGGATCCCCCGGAGCTTGGTCGTCGGAGGAGGGCGAGGGGAGACATCGGCCGTTGGCCTTCGGGGGGGGGGGCCCCAAAAAATAGGACCTCCTCCTCCTCCTCCTCCTCCTCCTCCTCCTCCCTCCTCCTCCTCCTCCTCCTCCTCCTCCTCCTCCTCCTCCTCCTCCTCCTCCTCCTCGTCCTCCTCCTCCTCCTACTCCGCCCTCCTCCTCAGCAGCGCCAGGGCGGGCTGCCGCGTGAATTTGTACGGTAGGTTCGCGTCGTGTCGACCGGCGGCGACCCCGCCGCCGACGTTCAACGTTGAACGCCGACGGCGGCCCAGAATCGGTCGATGTCGAACGATCGGACGTTGCGGAGACGGCCGATCGTTCAAGGTTGAACGATCCCCGCGGTGTCAGAAACCAACGCCGGGGTCGGCACGACACGAAGCTGCCGTAGCCATGCACCGGGAGCGCAGGTACCAGCGAGGGGACGAAACCCGGCACAGGCGGCACATTCTCGCATGCATGTGTCGCCCGATCGTACTGGCGGATGTTGTCCTTGATGCCTCGTTGGTCCCAGACGCTCCCCGGAAGCAGTGCAAGCAGAACAACAACAACAACAAAAAACAACGCGCCCGCTCCCGGAGGGATAGCACCCATATCCGGACCAGAACTGCCACCCTTGGGACCGGTTCGAGGTGCAGCACCAAGACCGGGCCGGTATTGGAAGTCCACCCCGGGGGGGCCTTTAAAACAGGGCCAGGATCGGGATAAATCGCTCCAGAGCGTTCCGGAGCGCTCCCAGAGCGTTCCGGAACGCTCTGAGAGCGGCCGCGGCGCCCAATACATCCTCCAAACCCGCCGATTCTCAGAGATTTCGAGTTATCCCGATCCGATTTTGTCCCGATCTTCGCGTCGTTTTAGCCTTCGCATGCACCAGCACTGCCACCCACGGCTGGACGCAGCATGGATGACTGGCGCGTTGGGGCCCCGGGAGGGGTATGTCGAGCTGCTGTCGTCTCAGCTCGCCCTTCTGCCGGCTCTGGCGAGTTTGCCTTCGCGGCGCTTCGGAGACATCTTCAGAAACAGTCAGGAACTAGACTTGGGACGATTGTTCGACGATTTGGGTTTTTTGTTGTTTGATGTTCTTTCTTTTTTCGACAGGAATCCGCCTGTAGTAGAGGACATGCCCGACCGAATGGTGACAGCAGGATCACAGAAAGGTCCCACAGGGGGGCGGGGAGCGCTGGACCGCCCAGTCTGGCATCCGCTTCGCCGGAGCGTAAATTCAGGAATCGCTTGGCATCGCTCGGACGTGTGTATTTTTCCTTCGGGGAGGACCATCGAGGAGCATCCTTTATCATTCGGCGAAAAAGCCACGCACGAAACCAAAAAAACACAGGGAACGGACGTCCGAGCGATGGCCAGATCGTGCTCTCGCCTCATTGCCCGCTGCGTGCTTGGTCCGGACGGCCACGACCTCTTGTAAGACGTCTATGCAGAGGCACAGGAGCGGAGCGTGTCTCTTCATTGTTTGGGGCATCATGGGCATTATAGCCCCCCTCCCCTATGGCGTAACGCCCCTATGGCGTAACGCCCCTCGCACCCCACGGCCCCCCCCTCCCCCCCACCCCCCTGTAGCGTAACGCCCCTCCCCCCCACCCCAGTGCGCTCTGGGCACTGCCGCCGCGCGCATCGGGCACACGGCGGGGGGGAGGCGTTACGTTACACCCCCGCGGCCCCCTCCCCCCCCCCCCACCAGAATGCCCATTGTCGCCGATACATGTTTTTTTATAGATAAAAAAGGCGCTCCAGGAGCGTGCGTGTTTTTTTGTTGAAGACATCGGGGTGCACGCTGTTCCTCGCCGACCTCGCCGGCCTCCTGTACTCCTCGACCCCGCCTCGCCGCCGCTGCCGCTCTTCGGGTGCTCTGCCGTGGCGGCTGGGGCCCCCCTGGGCCCTCCGCGGGCACAGGGGCAGCCCCCCCCCCCCCAACAAAAAAACGTCTCGGTGGAGGAAGGGCCGAGGGTTAAGTCGGGCCTGTCCCTCTACAGGGGGAATATTCAACAATAGTCAAAACATAGTCTGGGGAATATCTTTTGCGTATGTTTCGGCAGCTTTGGGCATATTTTTT